GGGTCAGGCTAGATGATCTGTTCAGGTCCCTCCTGACCCTAGCTGCTATGAAACTATGAAAGCAAAGCCATTTAGAAAGGAAAGAATCATTACTACATGTGGAGTACAAGAGAGGTTAGAAGACACCTGTTAGATTATAATGAGTCAGAAGACCAGAGTCCAATAAACGATTCCAAAAACTACCCTGCTTCTCACATTTCCTGAACCATCGTGGCTACAAAACACTCTGACCTCATTTACAGGGTCAACGAGAAGTAGCCTTCTATACAAGTGTGGAACAAGACTCAAATTTTCCCTTCTGGCCCCACCTTTGCTCAAGTAGTTCCAATGAAAGCATCAACTAGCCACAAAAGTAATGGGTCCTTTCAGTATGTGTTCATTGGTGATTACAATTTCAAGCCTTGCATCAGGAAAAGAATGGTATGTGTGACACACCATTCAGGACTTGCTTTGTCTGTCTAGGTAATGAAGAAAGAAGGAGAATCTATAGTTACTGTTGAACTTAAAGAAAATGGTGCAAACATTCCCATCACTAAGCATAACAGGTCAGATCTCGTAGCTCTTCTGCACATTTCTCTTTCCTTGTTAGAATGCTCTACCATATATAGTGCACATTTACTCACTTGTACTGATTTCTGTGTATATGGTACACAGAAAATTGTTTTTCATGAACTTAGTTTTGTGAGGGTATTATGCAAAATGGGATATGCATTACCAGAGAGAGAGTTCAAGCTTTGTTACCTTTACAGTGCACAAAGGATAGCAGCGATACAGAGGCAACCAAGTGAAATCTTACAACCTGTGTTATGCAAATGATCTAACAAACCCCTCTGGTCTGAGACCTGTGAATTTGTGAATGCACTATTTACAAATTTTGTGCATAATTTGTAAAGTGTGTTGACTGTCTAGGACTATCGTATAATTAGACTATTCCCATCATCAGTGGAAAGAAACCGAACCGCGCTGCTTTACAGCTGTGTCTATCCAGAATAATGTTGTTGATTTCAGAAGCAGTTACCATAGGTTGACACCAATGTAAATACATTAGAGTAGAACCTGGACCAGAGATTCATGTGCACATGCTGTACCAGATACAGGACACCTATCATGTCTTACTTTGGGGCCCTGGGATTGTATACATGTTGTTGCATACATGTTGCTGTTGTAGTTGTTAATGGCATTAGCTGGAATGAGAAATCATTCCTAAATGCATTCATGTAAGGAGTTGAACTGATGGACATTTGTAGGTGTCATTCTCATTCATCTTTACATACAAGTAATCTTGCTGAACTCAGTGGCTAGGGACAGACATTACAAATAAACCGGGTTAAGTGATCAGAAACTGATTTAAACCTGTAACAGAACAGATTTTCAGTGCACATAAACCAGTCTGAAAATGGCTGAAAGTGGTTTGAGATAAACCTGGTTGAATGTAGTATCAGACTTAACTGATTTGGCTGAAACTGGTTTATGTAATGTCTGTCCCAGACCCCTTCCTATTTTAAGTTAAATCAGAATCCTCCAGCATCCCAGATGCTTTGCAACTCTGGGTGGGGCTCTTCTGTCTGCTCCAGCCCAGGAGGGCCAGCCCCTCCCTTCTGCTCCCTGGCTGCCTGGCTTCCTCTTGCTCCCCCCTCTCCTCCCCACTACTCCCTGCTCAAGCAGGAATTCCAACCTCCCCTGTGCCTTACACAGACACCTCTCAGCATTAGCTAGCATACACCATGCTGGCTACAGTCCATGCTGTGGGAGATGACGACAAAGGCAGACAGGACAGGGTTGGCTTAGGGGTTTTTGGAGCAAATTAACAGGTAGCTGGTAATGTCCCTCCATTTCTTCCTTTGAAAAAGTTGTTTTAGAAGAGCTTGAACTAATGAGGGTTGTTTTAATGAACTGTTGTTTTGTTTGATGGGCTGACAAATGCTAACAACTCCCTGTGTAACTCCCTGCTGTGTAACTCAATGCTCTGTTATCAACAGCTGGGGGCAGGGAACCCCTCCCTAATCAGAGCATCCTGCCAGGGCCTCGCCACATCCCCCTCATCTCAGCACTGTGGAAGGCTTTGCCACTGTAGCCCTGCCACTGTACAGCCTTAGCCACTGTAGGCATGTGCCTGCATTTCTTCAGTCCAGATGGGAAATCTGTACTGTTACAAACTGGTTTAACCTAGCAAGATTAGACTAACCTGCAAAGATTGAATCAATTCAGGCTTGGGCTTTTTTAATGTCTGTCCCTACGCAACATGATAACTAGTTACATGCATAGGATTTGCAGGATTGAAGAGTTAAATAGTATACATTTTCCCTCTCAAATCACCTCTCGCACTGCTTCACTGAAAGCTAGAAAGCAATTGCACTGCATCTATACCTTTGCAGGAAAGAATATGTTGATGCCTATGTGAATTATACATTCAATGAATCTGTGAAGAAGCCATTTAAGGATTTCATGGATGGATTTTTAAGAGGCTGCCCAGCCAACGGGTGGAGAATCTTTCTTTCCACTGAACTCCAGGCCGTTTTCTGTGGACATACCAAATATGACTGGCAGCTGCTAGAAAAGGTAACTCAGCCAGGCAGACATGTAGCTGCTCAACTGGCTGGACATACATTTCCTGTGCCTTGTTCCTTTTTTGAGTTTATGGTTCATGAGTGAGAAAATAGCTGACTTGAGGGCAGATAGAGATTTTCACTTTGGGTCACTAGTTTGAAACCATTTTTGATTAAGGTGACCTATAAGTCATTTGGCGCCTAAATTGGCTCATGGTATTCCTTGAAGTCCTATCAGATTTTGGTGCTTTCTTATTTTAACAGTCTCTATAGCCAAAGAAACAAAATGATGAGGAAGTGCATGCCATGCTGCAGAATATAGTCCATACCACATTTTTTGGCACTCCCAATTAGACTAGAAAGTACAAGAGGGAGGGCCTTTGCTTACTAAATATGTACAGCACCTAGCACCCCCTTGACCAGGGTCATTAGACCTTACAAGGACAATCATTTTCAGAGCTGCACCACTTCTAGGAGAATTAATAGATATGTATAACACTATCTTTTGACTTTGGTAGTCCTTTGAACCCAGGTTGTACTCCATGCCACATAGATAGGAATTGGGCTAAGGGGTGTTGTTCTGAATTTATAGCTGTATTGTTGAGATCAGAACTGAGCTTTTTAATTTCATTTACTCTTCACTTAGGTAAGATTTTCCTTAAAGTCAGCAGGGGAAGGTCTGAATAAAGAGAAACAGGAACTGAATAAGAAGCTCAGGTTTATTACACAGTCCATAAAAACAAACAAGCTTATTCCACCTTAAAGAAACTAAGCAGATCTCAACCTGTAGCCACAGGATTAATTCATGTATTTGCTGTGTAAATTATTGTTTTATAAAAATTAAAAGATCTTGGAGGATTAACTGGCCAGTCTATTTTTATTCTCTTGTACAGAATGCAAACTATATAAATTATGAAAAGACCGATCAAACCATCAAAAATTTTTGGGCTGTCTTTCATGAACTCCCAGAAGAAACGAAGAAGAATTTTCTTGGTAAGAAGAGAGACATTTTAAGCAGTGCTCTGAGTAGTTAGCTCTGTATTTAAAAAAACATGTTTTGATTTCTTTCGTTTGGAAAATAAGTCTGCCTTCACGTTTTCTTTGCCTGTACTATCTCCATTTCCATGCCAGAGCCACCCCTGCCTTGTATCAGCAGGCACAAAGGACCATGGGGCAAACTTAGTTCTGTTCTTCCAGGCCTCTGTCTTGGAGGTTGCCCCAGGGCTTCTGACTTACTGTTATGGTTATATTATGCAGCCTTGCTTTATTTGGTCTCGGACCAATCTAGAGCCTGTGCATGTAATGGATCATGAATCAGCATGAAGGTGAGGTAGAAGGCATTTGATTAGCTTCATAGCAATTGCCTTTTAAGAGTATTTAGTTCATCTGAATAAACAGAACTGTCCACGTTATCCTTTATTAGTGCAAGCCCAATAACTTCAGTCTGCTATGAAGCTGGACTCCCAGCTGGTGGAACTAGTTCCACATTAAGAAGTAACCTGGTGTTTCTGCTGGAAATCATTTGGGAGTGTGGTCAAAGAAGAGGTCTGGCAATCCAGACACATGTCTTCTTCCCAGCTCTGACTTTGGCTTACTTAGGTGGCTAATTAATAGAGCTGTTCTAATATTTTAAACTAGGGTGTTTTAGTTTTTCAATACCAAATTCAATTTCTCATGGGAACAGTATCAGTTTTGCCAACATTTTTAGCTATTAAGAAAATATGAGGAGAATATTTTGATTTTGGTCACATGGCAGAAACTGAACTACTTTGAGGGTTTATTTTTCCTCCAAAATTAATTGAATTGTTTTGTTTCAGGGCAGGGTAATACCAACCTCTGTTTGCCTCAGCTGCCAAGGTGCATCATAGGAGTTGTAGTTCAAGTGCCTGCTGCCCACATTGTTCTCCATGAGCAAGGATCCCTGGAAGGACTGCATATCCCAGGATGCACCATGTGTTCCCTCTGGCAGATAAGCAGAGGTGCATCATGGGAGATAGTGTGCTCAATTCTATTCAATTGTATGGGTGGGGTTGCCAGGAATTTGAACTACAACTCTCATTAGACTTGCAGTGGTTTAAAGAGATGCATATTAACCAAATTCAAAGGAAACCTTTGAATTCTGATAAAAAATGTTGCAACAAAGTGTTTCGATAAGCCCTACTTCAGACGTTAATGAGGTCTTCCATTCTGGAGAAATGTTGCCTGTTTGTGCCACAAACAAATGCCAGAATATCAGAACTTCTCACCGGACTGAAGTTATGATTTTTACATCAGCTCTAGTAACTGAATTCTCTCTGCAAGGTGTTTCGAAGTACCTGTCTCCATAGGGCTGGGTGTGGATGGCAGATGGCATTGGGCATGTTCCAAAATAGGCATAAAATGAGTTTCCCCAAATTCATTTCTATCTCTAGTGCTATTTAAGTTTTAACGTTGGTCACTATGGGGAGGAGGAAGGAGGCGGCAGCTTGGCCAGGGTCCTCTGATTGGAACAAGGCAACTCAGCTTATGCCATGAAAGATTTGCACCATGTAAAATGCAGTTTAAACAGCAAGTGTCCAGATATACAAGCCAGTCTATAACAGTTTAAAGGACTTTAAAGCTCTTGGAACATTTGAAATGTATACCTGGATAATCAGGTATTATTTTGATCCACTTTTCTGTGGACCAGCTCAGTTTTATATGCAGACACCAGGGCTTCTTATACACATGAAGTGAGGCTGCTCCTACACACTGTAAGTACAGCATATCAGAGCAGATTAATTGAGTCTGCTGGAGCATGGTAATTATTGCACCCCAGCAGACTCCAGTAACACATGTATTAGCATCCCTGCATATAAAATGGTGGCAGGGATGCTTTTACTAAAGCTTGTTTAACATGCTTTAGTTAAAGCGCCCCTGCCACTTTTCACAATGGGTACATTGATACATGAGACACTTTAGGCCAGGAGTTTCCAATGTTTGTGCCCAAGAGCACATTTGAATTTAAAAGAAAAAGTAGGGGGCGCCAATATGAATATTAAAGTTTAGAATTTAGAATCCTGGATATGCGCATTCGCATAGTTTCGTTTGGGGAGTGCATGAATGACTTGTGCCCCCGGCAGCTGTGGGGGCACAGCGGCAGTGGGAGCATGGCAGCGGGAGTGTGGTGACAGCAATTGGGGAGTTCCTGCAGATGCTGCCAGCGCAGATTCAGCGGTGCTTTTTTGTAGGGGGTACACCACCACGCTCGGGGTGCATGTGCACCTGCGTGCACCCCCTACATGTCACACTTGGGGGAGGGAGTAGTAAGCACCACTCCATCACTGCATCAGTCAGGCTCAGTCTCATTTTGGCGGCCATTGTGTACAGCCTGAGTTCAATCAGCAGTGACAGCATTTTGAATATTGATTTTTACTGATCCTGAGAATGCATGCAGGCACCTGAATAAACCTCGGGGGAGGGGAGAGGAGGTGCCTGTGGGCACTGCGTTGGGAACCACTGCTCTAGTCACTTCAATTGGAGCGGCTCCAAGATCCGCTGTAATTAAAGTGCCTCACCCCGCTCCATGCCCCCACTCCCAGGGCATGTGTATAAATAACTGACTAGTGTCTGGTCAGTCCTCCAGGCATCCCATACTGCAATATTTCTCAGTCCCCCTAGCCCCTACCCCAACTCTCACATAGCAACTGGCTGCTCTAGTAATGCTCATTGCTCAGGTGGCTGGAGTGCCCCTATTTCTGGGCAAGGAACATTTAACAATTAATGGGCCAATGCACACTGGCTGAGTATGGAATTGAGAGCCATTCTGTGGTAATAAGTGCCCACTGCGAAGTGACTCAGTTTTCCGTCATCCAGCAATCATGGGGAAATTCTGGGCACTTGCCACTGTGAGGCAATGCCTCACTCCCATCCTGCCATGAGGATTCAGCAGCACTGCAATGCCTGAAAGGTGATTGTCCTACTTGGAACCCTTGGCAGTGTACATACGGACACCTCTGAATCACAACAGTTGGGAAGTGATACCCAATCAGTGGCATTCTTGGAATGGTTCAATTTTACACGTGTCCACACCACCCTGGGCTGTAGGATTAAGCCCACAGCCAGCAGGTAGCAGGATTCAAAGTATTCCAGCTGGTATACCCAAGAACAAACAAGCAGCATAAATCAGTGCTTCTAAACTTAGTCTGAGTCCTTCCTGTGATGTGATCTCAGTAAGCTTTCTGTCTGTATCCTGCTGACTGTTTTCCTCTCTTCCCCTCTGCAGTTTTTCTGACAGGAACCAATC